TGACAGAGAAAAGATCTTGCAGTGTCTTCCTGTGCAGTCAGCCCTGGGCAGCCTGCTCGGCCACCACTGCCACAGGGCCCCTCTTGGCTGAGGTGCAGGCAAGGGAATCTTGGTTTTATTTCTCTTTCTTCCAGGCAGCCCCATTTTGTGGAGATTGCCTTCCTGGGTGGGAGCAGCCTAAAGCGACATGCTCAGCAAGACAGAGCTGAGGCACCACATGGCACGGTCTACTTGCCAGGAATTGCACATTCCTGTGGTGGGGGTATTTCTACCTCCACTGTCCAGATGAGGAAACTGAGGCTTAAGAGAGATTGAGTATTACTCCCAATGTTATCTGGCCTGGAAAAGGTGGCAAGGCATACGCTGCTCACTCCACTTAAAGTCACCCCTCGGCCACCCCCAGTCACTTTCTAGTACTTTGTTTTATACCCCTTATCATTTTCTGTGTTGACCTGTTCAATACCTGTGACCTCTACTACAGCAGGAGCCCTAACTGCAGCTCAGGGCCTGGCACATAGTAGGTCCTCAATAAATATTTGTTGAATGAGATGGGAGTCAAACCCAGCTCTGGCTCGGTACTCTTATGCTTCCGGTCACAGCACCAATCCAATGCAAAGTGTCTGTGCTGGGCCCCACGAGGCCACCTGGCAGAGCAGGGAGTGGGGCCCCACAGGGGTTGTGACACCTTTGAAAAGCTTAATGGAAAGCCTACTAAGACATTTGCAAGTTTATTTCATACAGTTATTACTTGTCCAGTCTTGGGGATCCTAAAATTCTCTACTAGTCAAGAATGGGTGAGCAGCTGAATTGAGAGTTTCCTCCTTAGATGAGGTCCTCAACCTCAAACCAGACTCTGCTCCCCAACTGCCATTATCTGAGGGGGGCTGGGAGAAGGGAGACATGGCTCCACCAGGTAGAGAGCAGCAAAGGGGTTTACCGGCCACCTGGCCCATACTACCATCGTCTTCTCCTGTCTGGTCCCCCTGCCTCCTCTCCCCGCCTTCCCAAGTTCAAGCCAATCCTTTTTCTACTTCGAGGCAGCCAGACTGGCCTTTGAAAAAGTGAACCAGAGCTTGTTGCTCTCCTGCTCAAAACCCTTCAGCAGTTCCCCCACCAGGCTCTGCAGCATCCGGGCCCCTGCTGATCTCTTCGACTTTCCCTCCCCGTGTTCCTACCCTCCCCGTGGCCTCGTTTCTCTGTCAGGCACAGTGTCTGATGGGCTGTGGTGCCGACTGTCCAGTGCTGCCAGCTGTTCTGCCTGCCTGAACCCTCTTTCCCGTGCCTCCACAAGCTTCTTCAATTCTGTCATTCTGACTCCTTTTCTCATACATTTTCTACAGCTAAATTACCTTTTATTTACATGCTTAATCTTCCCCTTGACCCCCAAGTCCTTGTCTGTTTTGTATAGCATCAAATGATGAGAATCTAGAAATGAATCTAACTCTTGGTCCTAGTCAGGACTCAGAATTGTATTTGTAGAAGGGAAAAAAAAATTAAAAGCCAACCAAACCAGCACCCAATCTGAGAGCCTGATATAAATGGGCCTAAAAAAATGTGTTCCTTCATCCCCCTCTAATCGGGTAATAATTCTTGAACAAGGCGGCCCTTGAGGAACACTTTGGGACCATTGAGGGGTTGAATGGTAAGGATCCTCAGACCCATCTTGTTGTCTGTCTGCCACCCCTCATTTCACATGAAGAAGCTGAGGTCCAGAGAAGAGGCAGGCCCCAGCCAGCGTGTTTGGATTATACTCCAAGTCTAATGCCCAGTCCAGTGCTCTTGCCCCACCGGATCCTCTTGTCTGTCCACTTAGCTGGGTGTGGGGAAGGGGAAGCAAGGTCAAGGAGAAGCCACAGGCTGGAAACGGGCCTTCAGCTGAGTGCCTCCTGGTCTGGGTGCAGAAGACAGGCCTGGAGGGTGGGCCAGGCCTGGCCCTGGCACCACGCCTCACTGGCAACAGTGTGAAGAGGAACTGAACACTTTTCTGACATCTACACCACATTCTGGACTTGCCCATTTTGTACCGTCTGCCCCAGATGGAGGAAGCCTCAAAGTGGGTCTCTCTGTTGCCAGATCTTCCCAGAGGCCAAGGTTTTCTCACAGCCCTCAGTGGACCCTGCCTGCCCTGCTGACACACTGGGGCAGCCTCCCCTCACACTTAGAGGAAAATCCAAATGTCTCTCCTTGAATGCCTGACAAGGTCTGCGCTTTGCTAGCCACTCCTCATCATGGCCTGCTTTACTGTCCATGCCTTGGTCAGCCCAACCCCACTGCCTGCCTTTGTGCTGCGGTGCCTCCCTCCCAGACTCACAGGTCCCATCCCTTGTTGCCCATCAAGTTAATATCACCTCACCTCCTTAAGGAAGCCCTCCCTATACACCCCATCTGAAGTAGGGTTGCCTCCCATCTTTCATCATCACGTTTTCATGTTTTTCTTCATAGCACTTATAACTACTTGGAGTTTTTGCATTTTTCCTAGTTTCTCCGTCCCACCCGAAGATCAGCTCCTGTTTTATGGATCACTGAATCTTCTGTACCTGGCACACAGTAGATGCTCAATAAACATGTTTGAAGAAATGAAACATGAAGGGCACTCATGGAGTACAGAGATTTGGCCTAGTCTTTTCTGCCCAAAGTATTGAACTGGGTGTCTGGAGATCCTGGAGGTGAGGACCAAGACAGCGTCTTCCCCTGCCTCTCCTACTTGATATCCTAGGCCTGGGGCTGAGCTGCTCAGCTAGGTGAGGACTGAGCATTTACAAAGGTGTAGACGACTTGTATTGGTCTGTCTCTGCTTCCCCACTGGAAGCTCCCTGCAGAGGGACAGGCGCTCTGCGCTGGGCCAGTGCCGATTTGAAGGGTGGCTTCGAGTGGATGTTGACAGAACATGTCCGCCAGGTGTGGCAGGAGGGACAGCTTTGGTTCTGGGGAGCTGGGACGGTTCTCCGCCAGGACGAAATCTTCAACCCTGGTGTTAAAAACGGCCCATGAGGATGTTGCACAGCTCGGTAGCAACCAAGGCCCGAGTCCATGGTGTTAGAGGCCTCCGGGGAGATCATGAAAACGACCCCTGGTTATGCCTGAAGGAGGTTGAGTGCTGGCTCCTAAAGATTCGGGGCCCCTGAAACGATGGTTCTCTATTCCAGGGGGAAGCGGTAGCAGGTTCCCAACTATCACCATATTTAGCCAAGTCCAGAGCCTCCGCAGAGTGGAAGGCTATCTCCCAGTTAGCGCCTGCAGTTTCAATGATGCGCCCACACAGCGCTCGGCTCCTGGTTCCTGGACAAGCGGAAGGCGCGGCCCTTCCTGGCCTTTGCCCAGAGGGGTCACAGGGCCGTCCTTTGGTTCTTTCTGTACCTCTCGCCTCCCACACCACCAGCTCCCCAGGGTTAGATCCCGACAGGGCAGGTCCCAGGGCTGGCACTGGCCGCCACCGGATCACTGGGCTCCGCCTGGTTCCGAGCGGCAGTTAGGCGTTGGGCGCGCGCCCCTCCCCCAATGTCCCCGGGCAGGGGCCTCGTTGGCGTCTTGTCTCCACGGAGACCCGCACGCCTCCCCACTGGCCTCCCTACTGCAGTGCCTGAAGTTGAGCTCCTTGCAGCAAACGACTCAACCGGCTCCTGGGACGCGCGCCTTTTCTGGGCTCAGTGGGCTGGAGTCTCTAAAACTTGCCAAATCCTAAAACCAGTGGAGACGTTGATTAACATGCAGGCTCCCAGGCTCCCTTCTCTAAGGAGCCAGTCAATAGGTCCAGGGAGAGGCGTGGGATTCGCTATTTTAACGAGGAGATTCTGATGATCGAAGATTGGGCAAGATTGGCAAAGGAATGGACGCAAAGCCTAGAGAGTTGGGTTTCTTGGGTATACAGTGGGGCCTTGACTTACGAGTGTCCCGACTAACGAGTTTTTTGAGATACGAGCCGTCTCTCGGCCGATTTTTTGCTTTGAGTTGTGAGCTAAAATTCGGGTTACGAGCCAGCTTCAGATACCCCACTGCTAGTTGGCGCAGCGAACGTCACAGTGAACGCCACAACATCAGCCCAGCATCACGTGTCATTGTAATGGTGAAAATTGATTTGACATACGAGCTCCGTCACGGAATGAATTAAACTCGTAAGTCAAGGCTCCACTGTAGTTACTAGTAGTCCAGGACCTGCATTAGAGCTTTTCTCCAGCAAGGCTCTCCCGAGGCGCTGCTAATGCTTCCCTGGGGTGGGACCCAAGGGTTTGTCCCCTGGGCACAGATCATCCTGATAACTTGCCCCATTACAGGCTGCCATGAAAAGGATAGAAGCCCCAGGGAAGGCATTCTTGCTTTGGGGACTGCCTCCCCTGGCCCCTTAAACCCTGGCCAGGCCATCACAGTTCTGCAAAGCTGACCACTGTCTTTGATCTCTACCTGGGAGTCTGAAATAACATTCTTCAGCACCCATCTGTAGCCCCTCCCACCGCAGTAGGTCACACCTAAGCCTGCCAAGGAGACCAATTGCTGGTCACCACACAAGACCCTCTGCATCCAGGGGTGGGCAAACTTTTTGACTCGAGGGCCACAATGGGTTCTTAAACTGGACCGGAGGGCCGGAACAAAAGCATGGATGGAGTGTTTGTGTGAACTAACATAAATTCAAAGTAAACATCATTACATAAAAGGGTACGGTCTTTTTTTTTTAGTTTTATTCATTTCAAACGGGCCGGATCCGGCCCGCGGGCAGTAGTTTGCCCACGACTGGCATAGACTTTTAGATGTCCAGAATTCAAATAGAGCCAATGGGTTAAAAATATACTGGGGCAGGCCCTAGCCAGTTTGGCTCAGTGGATAGAGCATCGGCCTGTGGACTGAAGTGTCCCAGGTTCGATTCCAGTCAAGGGTACATGTCTTGCAGGCTTGATCCCCAGTAGGGGGCGTGCAGGAGGCAGCCAATCAATGATTCTCTCTCATCATTGATATTCCTATCTCTCTTCCTCTCTGAAATCAATAAAAATATTATATATATATTGGGTCAGGCTGACCTGAAAGCTGACATATAGGGTGATCTGGCAAAGGGAAAGCTGGCACAGTCCTGATACTGCCTTCAAGGCCTGTGCGGTTGGACTGTCAGCCCCTGGGGTTATACTGGACACTGGGGAGCGGTGCTTCCCAGACTTGTCTGACCGTAACACCACCCACCAGAGATGTGTTTGCAGGTAGAACTACCACACTCCACCTCAGTGTCTTTCTTGTCCATGCTGCCTGTGTCTCTGTCCTGAATGCTTTTCAAATTTTGTCCCAGGAAGCCAAAAGAAAACAAGGATTTATTTTTGTATGCTCCAGAGTTCACAAATTGTATGCCCACCTGGACAGGTAGATAGCACAAAACAATGAAGTCATTTGTGAAGGACTGGTGACCTGAAGGGCATAGTGGAGCCATGAGGGGGCAACTGAGGCCAGCTCCAGCTGCTGGGCCAAGCAGAAGGTGGGCCCAGGGCCGCAAGAGATTCTGAAAAGAAGTGGAAAAATAGTGTTTTTAAATATGTAATCTCTCATCTTTAAACATTGAGCATTTAAAGTTCAGATTAAATAAAAAATTGCAGGCGGTAAAACAAAACACTTCAGCAGCTTTGGGTTGGCCCATAGGCTGTCTATCTTTTAATAACCCTGGACTTCAGTGCAGATTCAACCCTGCCTGTCCACAATCTTATTGAAACTTCATTTCAACACCCCCTGTGCAGACCCCAACACCCTTCTCTGCTTGTAGCTGGTGCCACAAAGATCCCTCCATTACTAGGGCTGTCTGCCCCATGAGCTTATGAGCCCCTCCCTACCTTACTTAGCTTCCTGACATGGTTCTCCTTGAATGCCAGGAAACCTACTGCTCACCGAGGAGCAGCAGCTGGCCAAAGACTCTTTACCAAACTGATCTGGGAACCTAGCCTGGAAGGAGATGCCCCATGACAAGAGGGAGCTGGTCCGAGGCCCCTCAGTGTCTCTCACCGCTAACGGCCACTCAGCATTGCCAGGGTGACTGCCAGGGTGCTCTTTTCTCCCTGTAAGTTTCCACCACAGACTTGGAGGCTAATTTCTCCAAGGCTTCTCCTAGCACCCTGAACCTAGAGTTCTGGGGAGAAAGCCGGACAGCACTCGGGCAGTGCACGCTGGGAAACTTCCACGGGTCTGGTGCACAGCCAGCCCTGACATTCCCACACCCGGTGCCCAAAAGCTGCAACTAGTTCTTGGGCCACTTCTTGGCTGGCTTATGTGCTAACCAGTAACCTGCCTTTGTTCATCACCCAGCATGGCACTCAGGTGCACCAGTGGTCAGCTCAGGGACCGCGTTTTCCAGGGAGCCCTTGCCTCCTCCAGATTCAGTTTGGCTTTCCAAAGGAATGTAATAGCCACAGTGTCCTCCAGTAACCATACTCATGTGCACACAATAAGGGGCATGTGAAGAGCAGTTCCGCAGGCTTCCCCTCTTAACTAACAAAGGAGAAGGGATTTTCTCGTTTCCTACACAGACACACACAAAGCAGGAATAGAAATAAACCCCTTGTCTCTTGCCAACCTGTCATCTTACAGGGCAATGGGTGCTGGAGACAATTCTCCAGCTCCTTTACTAGTTTTGTAAGGATCTATGCATGATTTCAGGGAAAGTCTTCCAGTCTTTCATCACTGAATATGATGTTTGCTGTGGGGGTTTTCCTAACAGCTTTTAATATGTTGAGGAGGTTTACTTGTATTGCAATAGAAGTTTAAGTGTTTTTTAATGAAAGAATGTTGAATTTCTTTTTATATGATTGACATAAAACACACAAAATGGTTTTTTATTTTGCTTTGCTTTTTAAAACACAAGAGCCAGGCAGGTAAGTTTTAAATAAGGTGGGTCCTCAATTACTGATCACTATGAGGAAATCAGGAATGAGATCACAGTGTTGTATTTTCTTCCCATTTTTTTAAAAGCAGCTAGAAAACTGGATTTTGTATGGTATCTTCTCATTTTAAATATTGGTTAGAAGTGTGTAGGGGAGTGGGTCAAAGTATGTACAGAATTACAACAGTGGTGGTAGCGGGTGGGGAGGGTTAGAACACATTTGAGATCTTTAATTTTTTTTTAAAGGCTAAATCTGTCATGAAACAATAATGAGCCTTACACATTATTGTTGTTCAAAATACTTAGGGAAATATTTTTATACCGGTTCAACTCTGCCCTTTAGAATTACCTGGAGAGGTTTCAAAAGGATATCTGGGCCCCACCACACCAGTGCTGTAAAGTTCAGTAAATTGAGTTGGGTCCAGGCTCAGTTAATTCCAATATACAGCCAGGGTTGAGAAAGGAACCTTCTCCTAGCTAACTTTTGGCAAGTAATGAAGTAGTTTTCTCCCTTTACAGAGGGTAGTTTGTACCTTAACAAGTTTTTAATTCCTGGAAAGGGGAAGCCCAGCAAGAAGCCAGCTTTAAGGAAGTAAAAGTTATTGTGACTTTTTGGAGACAGGCTCCTTAAAGGTGTAATTAAGTTAAAATAAGGACATATGGGTAGGCTCTAACCTGGACACTTTTCTTTGCATGTGACTGGTGCCATAAAGATCCCTCATAAGACAAGGAGATAAGATAGACCTAAAACCAATATTGTATGTCAACTGTAATTGAAAAGTTAAAATAATATATATTTAAAAAAGAGATTAGGACTGACACATGGAGGGTGGTCCAAGTGAAGACTTGGAGAAGATGCCCATCTACAAGATAAGGAGAGAGGCCCTCAGAAGGAACCAATTCTGCCAACATCTTGATCTCAGACTTCTATCCTTCAAAACTGTATGACAATAAAATTCTGTTGTTTAAGCCACCCAATCTGCGGTATTTGTAAGAGGAGTCCTAGCGAATACAAAAGAGCCCTTGAAAAACAACAAAATGGGATCCTGAGGTGATAGCAGAAAGGGGAAGCCATAGGGAAAGGCCTCTAGAAGGGCACGTCATGGTCAGGATCGGAGTTGGCTTCACGAACAAGTTGAAGGTGTGGCAGTGACCATCAGAGGTAAAGGTGAGGGTAAATATCAGAGTCAGTCAGTGTTAAGGTCAATTTTAAGGGTCAGATAATTTAATAATTGGGGTGGGTCAAAGTATGAATGGTGGTCTGTGACCAAAGGATGGTAAAGATCAGGACAACACAGGGTTCAAGTCAAAATGGGTCCCCTTCGGTAGAGCAGCAGGATCAGTGTACAGGTAAGATTATTTCAAGGCCAGGCTGAGAAAGGTCAGGATGACTGTCAGTATCAAGATGCGAATCTGGAGCAGGGTCAGGTTCAAAATGAAATCAACACAGGAACATAATGTTCAGAATCAGAATCAGTCAAATTAATGGAGAAAAAAAAACCCCACACACAACAAACTCGAATTCAAATTCACTTCAAAGTCAGAGTGACTCAAGTAAGGAAGACTGTTAGTATAAGGAAGAGAACCATGTTAAGAATCTGTCAGGTTCACCCTAACCGGTTTGGCTCAGTGGATAGAGCGTTGGCCTGCAGACTGAAGGGTCCCAGGTTCGATTCCAGTCAAGGGCATGTACCTTGGTCTCGGGCGCATCCCCAGTGGGGAGTGTGCAGGAGGCAGCTGATCAATGTTTCTCTCTCATCGATGTTTCTAACTCTCTATCCCTCTACCTTCCTCTCTGTAAAAAATCAATAAAATATATTTAAAAAAAAAGAATCTGTCAGGTTCAAGGTCAAGTCAAAACTTAGGAAAAGTTATAGTCAGGATGTTGCTTGGCATTAGGATGAGGGTCAGGTCAAATACCTGAAGAAAGCTAAGGATTAGGGCCAGGATCAGAATCATTTTAAGTTGCCCTAGCCGGTTTGGCTCAGTGGATAGGGTGTCAGCCTGCTGGGGCGTGCAAGAGGCAGCCCATCAGTAATTCTCATCATTGATGTTTCTATCTCTTCTCTCCCTTCCTCTCTGAAATCAATAAAAATATATTATTTTAAAAAATCGGTGACTGAGTGTATACACTGGTGGGATGATCTGAGTCAGAATAAGGGTCAATTTTTTTTTTTAATTTTTAATTTTAGAATTCATTATTGTTGAAAGTATTACACGTCCCCTTTTTTCCTCCATTGATTCCCTCCAGGCCACTCGCACCCCAGGCCTTCACCACCCTATTGTCTGTGTCCATGGGCCATGCATATATGCATACAAGGTCTTTGGTTGATTACCTCTCATCCACCCACCTTCCCCCACCTTCCCTCTTAAATCCCATTCTATTCCATACTTCCATGTCTCTAGATCCACTCCATCAGTTTGTTACTTAGATTCCACATATAAGTGAGTTCATGTGATAATTGTCTTTTTCTGACTTATTTCACTTAGCTTGATACTCTCCAGGTCCCTCCATGATGTCTCAAAGGGTAAGAGATTCTTTTTTACTGCTGCATAGTATTCCATGGCATAAATGTACCACAGATTTTTTTAAAAATATATATTTTATTGATTTTTTACAGAGAGGGAGTGAGAAGGGTAAAGAGTTAGAAACATCAACGAGAGAGAAACATCAATCAGCTGCCTCCTGCACACCCCCTACTGGGGATGTGCCTGCAACCAAGGTATATGCCCTTGACCGGAATCGAACCTGGGACCCTTGAGTCTGCAGGCTGACTCTCTATCCACTGAGCCAAACCAGTTAGGGCATGTACCACAGATTTTTATCCACTCATCTACTGATGGGCACTTGGGCTGTTTCCAGATCTTAGCTATTGTAAATTGTGTTGCTATGAACATAGGGGTGCATACATTCTGATTGATGTTTTGGGTTTCTTAGGATATATTCCTAGAAGTGGGATCACTGGATCAAATGCTAGTTCCATATTTAACTTTTTGAGGAAACTCCATACTGTTTTCCATAATGGTTGTACCAGTCTGCATTCTCACCAGCAAGTGTACTGGGGTTCCCTTTTCTCCACATCCTCACCAACACTTGTCATTTGTTGATGGCAGCCATTCTGACAGGTGTGAGGTGGTACCTCATTGTCATTTTAATTTACATCTCTCTGATGATCTGTGACTTTGAGCATTTTTTTCATGTCTCTTGGCCATTTGTATGTCCACTTTGGAGAAATGTCTATATAGATCCTTTACCCATTTTTTAATTGGATTGCTTGTCTTCCTTTTGTTAAGTTGTATGAATTTCTTACATTTTTTGGATATTAACCCTTTTTCAGATGTATCCTTGCCAAGTATGTTCTCCCATACAGTGGGCCCCCTTTTCATTTTGTTGATGGTTTCTTTTGCTGTGTAGAAGCTTTTTATTTTGATGTAGTCAGAATAAGGGTCAATTTTAAGGACAACTTCAAATAATCAAATCCATAGCTTGTTGGAATAAACTGAGATGAAGGTAAGCACAGCAGTATTTCACATCCATACTGTGAGAGTGAATTTGGATTAAACTAAGCAGAAGTATTGAAATGAATTTGTGTTAGTGCAACAAATTCATTCCCATTCTTCTCAAAAGAAACTTATTGCTGCCGTGCCTGTGTGGCTCAGGGGTTGAGTGTCACCCTATGAACCAGGAGGTCACAGTTCGATTCCCAGTCAGGGCACATGCCTGGGTTGCAGGCTAGATCACCAGTGTGTGTGTGTGTGTGTGTGTGTGTGTGTGTGTGTGTGTGCGCGCGCGCACAAGAGGCAGCCAATCGATTGATGTTTCTATTCTTCCTCTCTGAAATCAATAAAAATATATTAAAAAGAAAAAGTGACTTATTGTTAGAGCAAACAGATGAACGTAAACATAGCAACACACATCCATCTCAATTCACATTCTTTCTGGGAGGCAGAGCAAATTCAAATAAACCTCAGCAGTATAACCGAAAAGAATCCTTACTGCTTAGTGAAGCAAATGGACTTGTTTCTCTCAAAAGCACATTTATGGTGAATCCAAGTAGGAATATGGAAAAAGATAGTGTATTGGTGCCAATTTCAGTCGTAGCCATTGCTTCTTACTGTAGATAAACCAAATTTAGATGAGCATAGTGTGTATGTGTATAATTTAGGTATAAACGATAAAGGTCAGCCAGACATTGGGCTGATGGGATATTAGAATGATTAGTCACAGGTTGGAGTATAAGCAGAGTTGAATATTCAAAGTCAGGATTGATTAGGGTCTGTTTCTTATTTTTAATGTATTTTTTATTGATTTCAGAGAGGGAGGGAGAGGGAGAGACATAAACATCAATGATTAGAGAGAATCATTGATCGGCTGCCTCCTGCACGCCCCCTACTGGGGATCGAGCCCACAACCCAGGCAGATGCCCTGACCAGGAATTGAACCGTGACCTCCTGGCTCATAGGTATTTGCTCAACCATTGAGCCATGCCAGCTGAGCAAGGGTCAGTTTCAATGTCATTTCAAGGGGACAATGTTTATAGAATGGCCGTCAGTAACAAGATGGGGGTGAAGATCAGAGTCAAGGTCAGTTTATGATCGAGATTAAAATTAGGGTGAACTATTAATGGGATCAGGGCCAGCTACAAGATTACATTCAAGCTTATTTCAAGGTAAAGTAGGTTAATGTTAGAATGATCATCAGTTTTAGAATGATGGTCAAGATCAGATGTCAAGTTCCATTTTCATGTCATGTTCAAGGTTAAGATCAGAGGAACAGTAGCCTGGTTTGTAGAGCTGAGCATCACACTAGGTCTATACACCATAGCCCCAAGTTGGAGAGGACTCTGTTTCTCTTGAAGCCAAACAGAACACCAGTTAGGCCCAGCTCAGGGAGTGGGACCAGAGAAGATTTAAGCCACAAGCCCTTAGCCATGGTGGAATTATAATGGTGAGCTCCTAAGAATGCTATTTTTAATGCATGAAGTATGAACCAAGTGCAGGTACAAGGAAAGAAACCAACTTAGGAGCCGGAGAGTGGAATCACACCAAAGTAGAATCTAAGAGCTATGTAAACAGGGCAATTCTGCAAAACCTACACTCACCCACTGACCGAAACACTGTACTTTATAAAACTGGTTCTAGGTGGCCTCTCTTGAGTTGCAGTTGGCGGCTTACATATGCTGGAATCAGGGCCCCTACTGCCAAATCTTCCTCTCCTATGAAAAATCAGAAATCCAGAACCATGTAACATCTAAGGACCAGCAAGTACACCAATTAAAAAAACAAAACACAATACAACACAAAGGCTAAGTTACACTCAGGCTGTGCCTGGTCCACGGTTACCAGCAGTTTGTGTTTGCTCCTCTAAAGGG